GCTCTTTTCAAAATTCTTTGCACTCCTTTCTCTTCATCTCAAGACATGTGTGGGCATTTTCCAACATGTCCGTGAGAGCCTCTTTGGAGTCCTCCTCATCATCATCGTCATCACTCCTATAATCATCACTTTCACAAGCATCATCATCACTTTCATCATATTTTACCTTGGTGGGCTTTGCCATGAGGCAAGTTGATGAAGTGTCAAAGATGGAAGGATTGTTGTTGATGTCTATTCTTGCAAGTGCTTTTTTCTTGGATTTCTTGTCATCATCACTTGAGTCATCATCCTCCAAAGAAGCATCACTATCCCACGTCACCACATAGCCACCACCCTTCTTCTTTTAGAAGGTAATCTTTTTCTCCTTCTTCTCCTTCTTTTGCTTCTTCTTCTCATCCTCATTATTGTCACTATTGTAGGGACAATCCACCGCAATATGGTCTGGGCTCTTGCAATTCTTTCCCTTTCCACACGGTATGTCTCTTGTGTCATGACATCACCTAATACTTGGTTAGGGGTGAGTTGCTTCAATCCTCCTCTAATAATGATCAATCTCAATGTCTTAAATCTAGGAGGTAAGCACATCAAGAACCGATGAGAGACATCATCATCATTGATCTTCTCTCCCAAAGCCTTCAAGTCATTAACAATTATTTGCAATCTATGGAACATCTCTAAAATGCTCACATCATCCTTCATCTTGAAGCTTATCAATTTGTCCTTGAGAATGTACAACTTGGCACTCTTCACCGCCAGTGTGCCCTCATAGGTCTCCTCTAATCTCTTCCACACCTCATAAGCTCTATCACAATCCTTGATTTGCTCAAACACCTTGGAGTCAATGGCATTGTATATGGTGTTGAGAGCCATTGTATTGCATTGATTGTTGGCCTTGTCTTGGTTAGTGAGGTTGTCAGGATCAATGATAGCATAGTCACTCTCGGTCACATCCCATACTTAGTCATTGATTGAACCAAGATACATCTTTATCTTTCTCTTCCAATAGTCATAGCATGTACCATCAAAGAACGGTGGTTTGCCCCCCACATGATTGAACACAACTTGAGCCATCTTTTGACACCAATGTTGTTAAGCCTTCAATCAAACGGTGACCACGGCTCCGATACCACTTGAAAGGTCCTAATATGGCTAGAGGGGGGTGAATAGCCTATTTAAAACTCTACAAATTGACTAGAGCAATTGATTAGTACAACAAATGGCGTAATGCAAATTTTGCTCTAGATCTACAAGGGATGGAAGCCACCTATTCCAACAATTCTGTTGCTATGATCACTAGGCACACAACAAGGCTATGTTGCTACTCACTAAGAGCTCTCAAGAAAGCTACACTAAAGAGCTCCACTAGATGAAACTAAACCGCAAAGCAAGCTCTTAATTCTAGCTACACTAAAGAGCTTGCTACAACTATTTTATGGGAAAGTGAATGGAGTGAGTAGGGTGATTATACTACCGCATCGAGGAATGAACCAATCACAATATGAAGATGACCAATCACCGGGAGAAATCCAATCACACAAAAGACACAAGATTTTTCTCCCGAGGTTCACGTGCTTGCTGGCACACTAGTCCTCGTTGTGTCGACCAACACTTGGTGGTTCAGCGGCTAATGGTATCACACACCTAGCCCACCATAAGGGGCACCGCAAGAACCTACCCACAAGTGAGGTAGCTCAATGACACGATCAATTTACTAGAGTTGCTGTTGGCGCTCCGCCGGGGAAGGCACAAGACCTCTCACAAGCAACCGATCGAGGCCGGAGACAATCACCAACTCCGCTCAACGATCCTCCAATCACCGGGCTATCTAGGTGTCAGAAAACACCAAGAGTAACAAGCTCACAACCAGCCCAAATCACCCAACTAGTGCCACAAGATGATGCAACTCAATGCAATGCACTAGAGGGTCTCCAAACTCACTGAATATGATAAAATCGAGTGAACAAGTGAGTGGAGTGTGTTGCTCAGCTTCCAAAGGGTGTGCACAAGTGTATGAAGTGTCAAGAGAGTGGCCAACGCCGGCCACACCCTCTATTTATAGCCACACAAGCAAATAGAGCCGTTATACCCCTTGGAGCTATTTCTGCGAGGTCACCGAACATTGCGGTGACCTGCCTAACGGTCGAATTTTAATGGTCACAAACTAGCGGTTGGGGCACCGGACAGGGTGGCGATGGCACCGCCCTAGGGCTGGCGGTGACCACCCTACCAAGCCCCCCATTTTCCCTGCTCTCTGGATAAAAGGGGCAGTGCACTGCCACACCCATGGCGGTGACCATGGCGGTGCACCGCCGTGCACCTAGCGGTGTACACCGGACACACCGGTGAACGCCCTCCAATTCGCTGCTCTCAGCCACCTCTAGGTGGGCACCACCCTAGGGGTGGCGGTGCCAGCCCTAGCACCAGTTCTTCTCTGCCTCAGCCAGCTGGTCACCGGACAGGCTAGGGCGGTGCACTGCCACACACATGGCGGTGACCACCCCGATGCAAACACCTCGGTTAGCTGCGATTTTAATTATCGATTCGATTCACAAGCAGTCTAACACTCCTTTGTAAGAATTGCTAACTCTCAAAGTGTTTTCCCAAAATATTTTAGAGTCAAGTTAGCATTTCTCAAATAATTTCAATAAATATTTTCGTTTGCTCTCTGATGTGCGCTAGGCCTAAATGCAATGCATGAAGTCCAACACCTAGTGGCACTAGATGACAGAATTGTCTAGTTAAGAACCTCTCTTAATAGTACGACCATCTATCATAAACATGATCACACTCTCTATAGTGTCTTGATCACCGAAACAAAACCCCTATTTATACCTTTGCCTTGATCTCTATAGGGTTTTATTTTTCTCTTTCTTCTTTTCTAAGTTGAGCACTTGATCATCATCACATGTGGCCATCTCATCATTTCATGTGATCACCACCTTCTCTTGAGGGCCACCATGCTCCATACTTGGATTGCACCAACCTAGCTCATCTCACAACTCATGACAAAGGTTAGTGCTAGGTTTCATCAATTATCAAAAACCAAACTAGGGTTTTCACCCGCGCCGAGCAGCAGCGTGTGCTCACCAGCAGAGGTGCTGACGGCCTGAGGCGCGCGACGACACCACCAGCACCAGCAGAGGCGGCGGTGCGCCTGACAGCGTGTGTGGGCGCGCGATAAGTGGGAATGTGGGAGCAAGGAGTGAGAGGCGCGGGAGGGGCGGCTAGGATGATGGCGCGTGGGGGGAGATGGCCGCTGCGGCGAATGCAGAGTGGGGCAGGCTGACGGCCGCACGGCGCTGTGAAGCGTGCGATGGGCGAGCGAGTAGGAAGATATTTTTGAGAGAGACGAGGGAGACGTATAGAGGAGGAGGCAAGCTTGTTAGGCCGGTAGCGCGTGGTGTCTGTCCTATCGGACGCCCGACCCCGAGCATTACTAGACTTGAAAAGGGCACCAACACAAATGTGAAATATGTTAGTAGTGGCGCATGAATAGTTTTATTATTCCTGTTGGCTCTCTTGAGCTGCAGGAATACTTGGACCACAACCGTTCTATTCTTGCTAGTATGGATGGGCTGACGTGGACGAGATGTTCTGCACTAATTATTGCAAATTCCACTAGTTCTTTTTCCACAAAAAAAGAATCCATTAGCACATTAAAGGACTAAAGTACTTATTAGCCTGTCAGCCCATATTAATTGCATTTATTTCTATTAATTTGCTGCAAGTCATCTGCTATTGTGTTTCAAGAAAATACTCCCTCCGTACTGGGAAAGGAAGTCGTTTTAGGGGTTTAGATGATTTGCACAAATCAAGTCGTTTTGGCTCTGTTAACACTCTTTTGGACGCGTTTGCCCCCGGCTCCTTGTTCCCTGTGCTTCATTAATCGCGACGCTCGCCTCGCTTCGTTAATCGTGACGCCGCAGCCGCAGTCAGTGACTCAGTGCGTCGCTCGATCGCTCGTCTCCCCTTCCTGCTTCCTTGCCTTCTTCGCTCGCTCGCGCTATGGAGTCCATGGAGATATTTCGTCGCCCATGGCTGGTGCCGCCGCCGCCGCAAGCGCTGCCCGTACGCTGGCTCTGTTGGCGTGCTGTTGTGGTGACGACCGTGAAGTAGTAGATGAAAAAGAAAGATGCCAAGACAGAGCACTAGAACACATCGGTAAAGTTGAGAGCAGAAATCACGCATCAGGCAAAATCACGAACGGCAAAAACCGGAGCGCCCAACTGCATAGTGCCATGCACATGCAAAATCACACATCAGGCGGGCAAAAATTGGGCCAAAATTGGGCCAAACAGGGCTCGAACCTTGCTACTCCAGTCTCAGGCCACAGCGCACTAACCAATCCATCTACTAACGATTGTTGTATTGGAAATACCCGTAGCCCTATTTAATAAGGGCAAACAGGGAAAAATACACCCTAATTAACCACTCCTTGGTATGCTAAATGCTGTCCTAAACGACTTTCTTTACCAGTATGGAGGGAGTATAGCTAAAGATCAATAGCAATGCCTTGTTATACATTAATATCTGACTCTAGAATAATCAGTAGATAACTAGATATGTTCATACTGATAATCACAATTAAATGCTACTACATATATATACATATATTTTTCAGGAGATTATGTTGTGCCACATAAGATTAATGTGCTTCCAAAAACAACAAGTTCTGATCCACTATATATAAGACACATTTACCATCCAGGTACCCACACAGATCAGACATTCCGCAACTAGCTGCACATTTTTCAACACCATTAACTCTTCAAGCTAGCCACCTTTTCAACAGGCTAATCAAGATGAAGGCTACCCAAGTTTTCCTGTTGCTTGCCTTCATGGTGCCGCTATCAAGTATATCTCTGCCTATATATTGCATCTATATATCACTGTTGTTTTGATCCTATTTCACAAGTGTTGTTACAGTTGTTTTGATAAAACATTCTTGTTGAGATTTGCAGATGAGGTAGGAACAATTGCATCAACAGAAAGTAGCAGCAATGAAGATTGTGAACCAGCAGTTATTAAGTTGGGTGACGATTGTATCCCGAAGGATTGCTACCACAATTGCATTGCCCTCGGAGCTCATAGTGGAAACTGCATCGGAGGGCCGGCATGCAATTGTGTTTTCTGTGGACCCAGGCATGCGCCACCTCTGCTACAATAGGATTCTGTTACATGGGTGCTGCAGCCGCAATGCTGCTGCTGATGTTTAGGAACTTCTGCTCAAGGATAGATTCATAGATGTATACCAACAGTAATAGCGCTGGAGCATGTTAAATGGCTGGAATAAATGATTAGTGATTTCTTAAAGAGGAATATGTCTGTGCTTTTATCCAAAGCAAAAAAAAAAAAAAACAGGAAACAAAAAACAATAATTTGCTAGCGTAATGCTGTATATATAATATGAAATGTATGCAAATAGTAGTTCATCTCATAATCAAAGTGATGATTACCATGGAACGTGTATTGGATGGCACCTTATGGGTGCATTTCGTCCTATCATGTTTTTCCCCCAACATTGAGGTTCACTTGGATAATGAAATAAGAGCATCTCCAATTGTTCCTAAAAAATCAGTTGGTATATCAATGAGTTTTTCAAGTGACTAATAAAAGTTGGGAGCATATTTGTCAGCTTCCTCCAATAGTTTCCAAAATCTCGCTCCTAAATATAGAAAAAAAATCATCAGGAATCCCGGACTATTTTTAAATCACACCAACCATTTTTATATTTTCTTTCTCTCTTGTACATTTGCGTTAGCTTGTTTTTTCCATATCCTTAGTCATGGATCTTCGATAAAAAAGGTTAGACTACCACCATTGTAAACTCACATGGGTCTACCCATCTCCCTTGATGCATTTTCTATCACATTCGATGATATCCCTTTTGTAAAGGGGCCTACCAAGTTTTTGTCTGTTTAAATATAAATCATAGCTATTACTCCGGAGTTTCTCAATTTCCCGATAGACTTCAAGCATCTTTTAACATGTCTTGTTGACTTCACATTATCCTTAGCATTGTTCACCTTGACAATAACGTTTGGTTTCACGGTTCGTAAGGATAGTTGGTATTGGTTTTTCAACCACCGACAAGTTGATCAAGAGCTCATGCATGCATTCTACTTCTGCATTAGTTGTATCCAAAGCAGTAAGTTCTGCTTCTATGGTTGACCTCATCAAAATGGTATGTTTGCAAGACCTCTATGACACTGCACCACCACCAAGAGTAAACACATACCCACTTGTGGCATAAAGTTCATCAACATCAGATATCCTGTTTGAATTGTACTATATCCATCAAGCACAATTAGATGGCCAGAATAGTGAGTCCCATAAGTCATTGTACCTTTAGGATAACACAAGACCCTCTCAAGTGCATGTCAATGATCATCACTTAGGTTGGGCATGAACCCGCTCAATTTGCTAATAGCAAAAGAGATGTCTGGCCTTGTTGCACTAACTAGGTACATGAGTGAATCGATAATTTGAGAGTACCTCAAGTATTCTCTAGCTATCCTATTGTTCTTTCTTAATGTTGCGCTAGGATCATAAGGTGTTGGAGAAGGCTTACTATCCATAAGGCCAAATTGGCTCAAGACCTTCTCAACATAGTGAGGCTACAACAAAATAATCCTACTCTCATCTTACTCGCAAAAAGAAAACCCTCCTCTCATCCTTAATCAACTTGATATTTAGAATCGCATTTGCTTCTCCTAGATCTTTCATGTCAAAGCTCGACTCTTTTAACAAAAAAAGACGACTTCATCAATCGCATCAATTTTGTATAAAAAATCAGAACATCATCAACACATAAACATAATATAACAAATACACCCCCACCATAGTGATAATACACACACCTATCAACCTCGTTAACAACAAAGCCCACAGAGGTTAAAGTTCGGTCAAACTTTTCATGCCATTGCTTAGGTGCTTGTTTGAAGCCATACAAATATTTCAATAACTTACACCACCTTGTGGTCTTCACCTTTTTACTACAAACCCATTAGACTGATCCATGTAGATTTCCTCGTCCAACTCTGTCGATAGAATATCGTCGGTAGTCCTCTGAGGGGTATCCCACGAAGGTAGATTGATCGGCAGAGGAGCGCATGATCAAGAACAAGAAGGCAACAGAGACACATGAGTTATACAGGTTCAGACCATCAGTATGACGTAATACCTTACTCCTGTGGTCTGTTGGTTTGTATTAGTTATCGTATGATATGCCATGATTTTGGAGGGGGTCCCTGTCCGCCTTATATAGTTCGAGGGGTAGGGTTACAAGTCGGTTAGATCTGAGAGATAACCGGAAAGTAATAACAGATTACAAGAATCATGGGATCATACGTATCCTAACAGATCTCGTAGTATCTTCAGGATATCCTTCCTATATCTTGTGGGAGGCGCCGAGCAGAATTGTGTCCCGCAAGGCTTCATCTTGTGGGCTGGGCCGCCCCTAGGGGCTTAGCCCATGTGGTCCGTCGTGGGCATCCGGGGTCGTAGCCCCCACAGCTAGTCCTCGAGCACCGTGTACCCGTTGTGCAACGCCATCCTAAGCATGTCCGAGCAGGTGCGAACAAAGCTGAGCAGTCGAACTCATGGTCCGACCACCGTGATGAGTTGCCGGGCAGTTGTGAGCAGTTGCCGAGCTGCGTGTGCTGTTAGCGAGCAGCACGAACCATAGCCGAGCAGCATAACCCAAGCATGGCTTGCCATAAGGGTGTAAGGAGCTCAAGTTCAGAGTCGAAAATTTCTTCGTAGTGGACCAAGTGTGCCCACTTAAAGTCCGACCACAAGAGAAGGATTTAGTGTTGTTCAGCTTCGAGTTGCACGGAGTCTTCTAGAAAAAAGCAAGCACATTCACCGCGAGGTGAAGTGTGCCCATTTAGTCCCTGAGCCTAACAGTAGGTGACGGAGTCACGTAGTGCCAGGGTCCAAAGTAGAAGAATAGAAAACCAGCCGAGCAGGTAGCTAGTCCACAGGCGTAGACCTAAAAAGCACATTCACCACGAGGTGAAGTGTGCCCACTTAGTCCCCGAGCCTGATAGTAGATGACATAGTCATGTGGTGCCAGGGTCAGAAATAGAGAAATAATGAAAACCAGCCGAGCAGGCAGCTAGTCCCCGAGCTCCAAGCGAAGATATCAGAGAAATCAAACCGTGGAGATAAGATCGGAGGAACGGCTGTACAGTAATGGTTACTGAGCCTCGATAAATGGCGGAGAAGTCGGCGATTATTCGGCGAGTAGCAATTGACGGTTGCAATAAATGAGCGACATGGGCTGCGGTTGCGTGAAAGCCCAGGTAACGGCCCATTAAACCGCGTCGGAGAATTCAGAGCGACGTAGATCGCGGGACGGTTTCCCAAAAACCCTTGAATTTGGAAAGGTGGGGAAAGTGATTTATAACGGCGCCGCCGCCCCCCACTCTCCCACCTTTGCCACTTCGCCATTTCATCTTCCTCCTCAGCCATCACACTTCCAGATTCTCACCCACACACGCTGCCGGTGCCAGCCCCCATCTAGATCTGAGTGATGGCGCTGAAGAGGAGAGCTGTGAACCCGAAGAAAGCGAGCCCAAAGAAAGCAGGTGCTGGAGCTAGTCGTGACGAAGAGTGGGCGCCATCGTGCACGGGGGAAGCGGAGCTCGAGAGATTGGTGATGATGGGCGTGCTTCCTGACCGCGTCACCGCCGGATGGCGGCCAACCAGTGGTGAGCCCTTCCTAATGCCTAACACCGATGAAGTTTGTAACAGAACCGACCAAATCATAAGAACGTAAGTACAAAAACAATCACCGAAGCGATCAAATTCCTATACTTAAGCTCCCATAATCCCGGTAGTCCGGAAATCACGAAGGATTTCAACCAACTCTCGACATACAAACCAAGATCGTAGTGATTCAACACAACACATCATCCGTTACAACATTTCATAAGTAGCATTCGGATTACATCCATCAGAGTTCAAATAAAATATTACAAACCAAGTTCAAAAGCGCGGAAGCAACATAGTTTAGTACATAACTTCATAGTTTCAAATACATTGCCAGATCAGAGTCATGTCCCACAAAAGCATTATCAGGTACGAGAACTAGTAGAGACCGCGCCCAACGGCCTAGTCTTCATCCCCAGCTGGGAGAAGGCAGTACTTGCAGCAACCAAAGAAGAACTGGTCATCTACAACAGGTGGGAGATAAACCCTGAGTACGAGAAGGTACTCAGCTAGACTTACCCGCCAAAAACTAGAAATAAAAGACACCAAGGATCATGCAAGGCTTTTCAGGTTGGCTAGCTGAACACAATTGCATAAAAGAGCTTATGATTATAGTAACCAATTTAAACTTAGCATCAAGCTTATCATCATTTACCTGTCCACTAGATTAGCACCTGTACTAGAGCACTCACTTATTAGGAGCAAACAATATTAACCATAGCAGGTATAATAAGGTTGTCATCATCATATCATCATTTCTGAACCTTTATGTTATTTAGTGCATCTACATTGGAGATAAGCCCGTCAAGTTCTCACTAACCGGGAGAGACGACGACTCGAATCGAATTACAACTCAGCTGAGGGGGTATTCCTAACTCTCACCCTGGCATACTTAGCAAGGGTAGCCGTGGGTTACCTTTGGTACATCTCAGGAACCAAATTCACGGGTTTGATCAGCGCCAGCACTCTCAGGGATTACCCTTCTGCCAGGATGATTAGGACTTTTAAATCACCTGCCCTTGGACTCACGCCTACGGGTCCCTTCCGAGGTGCACTTTATACTTATCGACTCCCGGCCTAAGGTGAGCTACTTGGCTTCGCGGTCGGTCATCGGACACGGCCAACTAAGAGAGAGGCATGCGTTCAACATGACCAGGAAAGGCTCCAAGAATCAGTCCTTAAGCGACACAGATGGAGTCACTGCAAACCGGCAAGCCTCCGTCCGGTCTTCATTTCAAATTAAGACTGGTTCTTTTCCACGATAGCAAATATAGCCAACCGTGCCACATGTATCTTCCTATATCTCGCAGGTGACAGGAAATCACCCGACTTCTACCGCGTTTAAGCAGGGCTAAGCACTACTTGAGCCTGAGCTACATAGGATTCAGGGTAACAATATCTGGACAAGGATTGGGTAACCAATGCAGCAATTGTTTGCATCCAACACCTAAACTTAATGCAACAATATATATATGTAACAATAATACTGTAACTGCATTTT